TGCCAATCAGACATGCGTGCGTCTCAACGGACGGGAAGTAGCTTGTGGGTGATTTGTCCTTGCGTCTTTAGCTTTGCTGGAATTCAGTCCCGTTTTCTGCATGGGTATGGTGGACGTGATGTTGGAGTCTGTTTCAAATCAAGGAGTACGAGGGGAGAGTCTGGGACATGGGACATGGGACGTGCTGATACTCCTGTATATATACACACCTACCTCACATAACGAAGGAATCGAAGGAATTGAGAGCCTGGTGCGATTTACATTTCTTGCATACAACTCTGGGAAGAGCTGAGTCATTCGGCTTCATGTGACGGGACTTTACTGGAATGGGCCTAGTAAATGACGACATCGCGATGATGGCGGCTCAGCCAATGACAGCTGGAGTCAATCTGGGTCTCTCCATACCGACTCCCGTCTAGAAAGGACGGCCAACCGACCGACTACTAAGTAAGTTAGTGGCTGTGACTCTTCTGGGGAAGCCCATAATTTGTTCCCGTCCATTCTTCCTCTCCTTCATCTTCTCGACTTTCCAAAACACTCACTCATCTTATATTTTTGGCAAGCTTTGATTATTCTTGCCCATTGCTACCAACCTTCATTTGTTGATTAATCCCATCACCTGGTGCTGTCTACTTGTTTCTTTTCTCAGTTTTTCCCCCTTTCCCCTGTCGGTTCTGCTCCCGCGAATCCTTCCGTCCCCGCAGCGATGTCGGCCTCAGGATCCGGTGCTGATTCCAGCGCTTCTAAGAAGGCGTTCCCTCGCGTTGACCTCGAGGGACACAATCTGCCTCCTTCTCCTGCTCCATCTAGCCCTCATGGTGTCAGACGCTACAACATCGCCACCGAGCTGGTCTACACGGACAGCAATGATCAGTACAATGCCAGCAGCGTCCCGATCTATCAGGTACCGACCAGCCCGTCCAGTCCTGCAATGCCACCCGGTGTGACGTCGAGGGTAGGCAATTGAAGTCTGAGCGATAGCTAATTCTAGTCGGATAGAGTGCCACTTTCAAACAGACCTCCGGCGGCGGCGGCGGCGAATATGATTACACCCGCTCCGGAAATCCCACACGAACCCACCTCGAGCGTCACTTGGCTAAGATCATGTCGGCTCAGCGCGCTTTAGTTGTGTCGTCCGGCATGGCCGCTCTGGATGTGATCACCCGCTTGCTTCGTCCTGGCGATGAAGTTGTGACCGGTGATGATCTTTACGGAGGAACCAACCGCCTTCTGAAGTATCTCTCTACTAACGGCGGAATCATTGTGCACCATGTGGATACCACCCACCCCGAGAAGGTGCGCGAGGTCTTAACCTCGAAGACGGCCATGGTTTTGCTCGAGACCCCGACCAACCCCCTGATCAAGATCGTCGACATCCCCCAGATCGCCGCGGCCGCCCACGAGGCGAACCCCAACTGTCTCGTCTCGGTCGACAACACCATGATGTCGCCCCTTCTCCTCAATCCGCTTGATCTGGGGGCGGACATTGTCTACGAGAGTGGTACGAAGTATCTGTCGGGTCACCACGACCTCATGGCTGGTGTGATCGCAGTGAACGACCTGGCGCTGGGCGAGCGGCTCTATTTCCCCATCAACGCGTCCGGCTGCGGTCTGTCGCCCTTCGACTCGTGGCTGCTTCTGCGCGGTGTCAAGACCCTGAAGGTGCGCATGGACCAGCAGCAGGCGAACGCGCAGCGGATTGCGGAGTACCTCGAGACCCATGGCTTCAAGGTGCGCTACCCGGGGCTGCGGTCGCACCCTCAGTATGAACTCCACCACTCGATGGCCCGCGGCTCGGGCGCGGTTCTCTCGTTTGAGACGGGTGATGTGGGTGTCAGTGAGCGGATTGTGGAAAGCGCCAAGCTGTGGGCGATCAGCGTGAGTTTCGGCTGCGTGAACAGCCTGATCAGTATGCCTTGCCGCATGAGCCATGCCAGCATCGACGCCAAGACGCGCAAGGAACGAGCGATGCCGGAGGATCTCATCCGGTTGTGTGTGGGTATCGAGGATGTCGACGATCTGATCGATGACCTGCAGCGCGCCGTAAGTTCTGGCCTCGATTTGTTGTAGTTGGGAGTATGCTTTGCTAACAAACATGTTGTAGCTGGTGCAAGCTGGCGCGGTCAACGTCACCTTGGAAGGGATCCAGGCGAACACGTCTGAATGAGCTACATATGCATAATGACACTGGGAACACGGTGCGTTGGGCCATGAAGGACGGAAAGCTCAGGGAGCGAGGGGTTTTATGATTTGGGAGACAATTTAAGTTTAATTTGTGTTGGGCGTTTGGAGCATGTTAATTGATTTGTACACAGTATGTATGAAGACCCAGAAGAAGAAAAAAAGAAATGATAGATCCAGCATCGTGATGAAAGTATGTGTTCCTTGGATAATTACCCGGGAAGTGGACCGACCGCGCAAGGGTTGGATTGAAAATGGTCGGGATTTCGAATACCCATTGATTGATTGATGGATTGATGGATTGATTGATTAATACGAGCACAACGATTGCATCGGCCGGCATCGGAGGACAATTCCCGAGGCGCATCCAAATTATGCCGGCCGGGCGATTCTCGTCCGTTGGTGCATGTCAACTCCCTCACCCCCGACTTCTTTTTTCTTTGCGGCTGACTGACTGACTGGCTGACTGGCTGACGTTCGTTTGCTTTTGCAGAAGTGACATTTTGGGTGCGCTGGTGACCAGCACAATGTTTCAGTAGTCTGTATTTTGAGTGAGGCCTTTTATTCTCTGCATCGTTCTTCAATTTTGAAATCTGCGGCAATTGTCTTCTCCAGCCACCGTCCGGATGACGTTATATTAGCAATCAGCCCTCTCTCTCTCTCTATTTTTTCCCTCTGTTAGAAAAATGACGCGGAGTGCACTTGCCCCCGAAGCGCCCTCGTCTCTTCCTACGAGTATGTCGGCCATCAGCGAGCGATCGCCCGTCTCCACGACGAGGTGGAACACCGACCGTCTGGGGACGCGCCTGGGGGTGGATATCGCCAGCGCGGCGACGGCGGGTGCGCTCACCTGCCCGGTCATCACCGTGATTGATCGGTAGGCCACCACCGCTCAACAACCTTACTCGGGATGATTCCACTAACCTGTTCGCCGCAATCTCCAGCGCGATCATCGAGAAAGCAGCCAAGGGCCTCCCGATCCAACAGACGATCAGCTCATGCTTCCGCTCCATGGCCGCCCACCCGGGGGCCTTCTTCCTAAGCACGCCGTTCCTGCTGATCTACACGCTGTACACCGCGACCTACCTGACGGCCAACACGATCGACACGGTGATGTCGACGATGCGCGACAAGCCCTTCTCGACGGTCTTCCCCGGCACGGCCAAATTCTTGTCGACGACGGTCGTCAACATGGGCATCTGCGTATACAAGGATGCCCGATTCGCGAGGATCTTCGGGGCGTCACCTCCCGGCAGTAATGCCCCCAGCACTACCGTCACCACACCTCCCAAGCCGAACTCCAATTTCTCCCCAACAATCACAATCCCCCGCCCCAAACACACCACCACCGCTGCCTCGTGCCACCCGGCCACCGGCCCCGGCGCCCCCACTGTCCCGCGCATCTCCTACGCCCTCTTCTGCCTGCGCGACAGCATCACCATCTTCGCCTCGTTCAACATCCCCGCCCTGCTGGCGCCGCACATCCCCGACCGCGTCGCCGCCACCCCCGGCATGAAGGCGGCGCTGGCGCAGTTCAGCTGCCCCGCGCTCATGCAGTTCGCCAGCACGCCCATGCATCTGCTGGGCTTGGATCTGTACAATCGGCAGCCGCCCGGTGGGCTGGGGTGGCGGGAGCGCGTGGCGCGGATCCGTCGGGATTATGTGCCGAGCTGTTTTGCGCGGATGGGCAAGATCGTGCCGGCTTATGGGGTTGGCGGGGTGGTGAACGTGCGGATGAGGGCTTGGTTGATGGGGGGGTTGGAGGGGAGATCCTAGTTTGCCCTTGAGAATATGGGAAGAATGACGCTTTGCCTGGTTGAGGGCTGGATTCAGCTGGGAGATTAGATGGCTTGGGGGGGAGATCCTTCCCGCGTTATGCATTTTATGAGATTTTCGATTCCGGGGAGGGAATATGGTCCTCGCGACTGGACTTGGACTTGGGCTTGGGCTTGGATATGATTTTGCTCGGCGATAGACTACTTATGCGACGGTTGATGCCGCTACTTACACTGCTTACACTACTTACGTTACCACAGATTACACTACACTACACACACATACATACACTACACTACATTACATTACACACACAAGCACATACATACATACCTCCATACAGACAAACAGACATACCCACTCCACTCCACTCGACACCACTCCACTCCAATCCACACTCCCATACACCCACAATCGAACGAAAACCTCCTGCAGCTCTCAATCCAGGACCCAGATGCAAATCTAGATCTAGACCATCCCCACTACCCAGAACCTTGACCTTTGGCGTTCTCCAGCAGTCTTCTTGCACATGCACATGCACATTTGCTTTGAGGTCATGTCTCTCCTGTACCATGCTATCCTATCATATCGTCATTGAGAATAGACTAGAGCTGAATAGACTAGAGCTGTAATACCGTTCCTTTGCTTTTTTCTATTTCAGTGTGTATATGTGTGTGTGTGTGTGTGTGTCTGAAAAAGGGAAGCAGCGTAAAGCGGATCGGATCTGCTGCGGGCTGGCTAGAGAATCCACTTGTTTTTTTCAGGTATATGTACTGCGCTGTATATAGAGATTCCTGTTTCAATTCCATGGTCGTGGTCGTCCTGGTTGATTATACTCAGGTTCATGGGCGTGGATTCGTTGGGGAGGGTGTTTGGGCGGTGGGGAAGGATGGGCTGGTTGGTTGGGGTTTGTTGGTGCAAGGGCTGAGTTGGGGGTGGTGGTTGTAGCTAAGTACTGGAGGTTACTGTGCTTATAGTAAGGGCTTAGATGGCATGGCGTCGCTGTGATCACTACTCTTCGAGATTGAAGATGTCGTTTGCTTGCACGATGTTCACATTCTCAACTGGCCGTGCGTCGAACCAGCGGGGAAGTACAGTACTGTAAGACTCGCATATAAGTGCAACCAGCCGCGCAAAAGGCGTTGTTTTCCTTGTACATACGATACGCTCGCTGATCGAAGGCTCAAACCCTGCTCTTAGGGCAGGATGCAGACCAGCCTCTGCACGCGGCGGCTCGCATCTTTTCCCATTTCTCGATGCATGATCACATTTGTCACGGTGCATTCACTTGCATGTTTGTCTATGCCATGGGTATTCGGTGCCCCATCCTCCTTCAAGTCTATAAAACGAAGTCATTGAGCCACCGTCCTTATCACAATGAAGAACAAAGAACAGCATCATCATCAAGCTTCTCTTCTCCGCTAAGATTCTCCAAAGCCAACCCTCCACGATGAAAATCAGTCTGATCTGGCTCCTGAGCCTCTTCCTGGCCGTCCATGCTGCAATCAATTCACGTACGCCTCAAACATAGGCCAAAAAAAAAAGTACTGCACATGCTAACTGAAGATTGAAGCTATTGAGCCATCGCTATCCCTCAACACAAGAGACCGCAATGAACCCGAAGCTCATCGCCTTCTTCCACGAGCTGACGCGGTGCATGACGAGAACGAGGAGGTGGACAACACTGTGATAGGGGAGGGGTGGTAGTACCATTGACCACGTTGTATGATACACATACTCAGAGCGCACTGTACCCTCCAGACTTTGTACCTAAGTGCGTTCTTTCTGTGCAGAATCGAAGCGGGAGAGTCCAGTTAGTATCTCATTTACAACCCATGATTGCTTCCCCATCCCATGATATGATCAGACAAAAGCTCATCATTGCTACCACAAATCCAACCGAATCCCATCATCCCCCGCCTCGTCACCGTCTTCGCATCCCGTAAAATGATCCACCAGCCTCACCGGCGCCTCCGTATCGCGATAGCAAGCCGTCCGCCTTCGAATCCACTCCTTCCTCTCCCGCCAGTCGACACACTTCCGTGCCTGTCCATCCCCAGTCTGGTTCCGTCCCCAGGTATAGAGGAGCGTATCCCCCGAGTTCCCGCAGACGAGATACTGCAGCAAGCTGTCGAAGCAGTGCCAGGCGTGCTGGAGAGGGATGCTGGGTGGGGGATGCCCCGTTTCCAGAATCTCGCGTAGTGTGCGGCGGATGATGGTTAGGCAGTGGATTTGGTGGTATCTATAGTCACTCAGCTATCATTCCGTTGTTCTTATTCCCCAGTCTCTATTGTGATTTGTGCTGGAATGTTCACGGATGCCCATTTGTTGCGCTATGAGGAAAAAGGGGGGGGGGGGTGGAAGTGGAAAAAAAACCCACGCATCAAGGATGTAAACCCCCTTGGACGAGTTGGACGGCAGACTCATGCTCGCGGGCAGACGGTGCTGCGCCGCCCAGATGTGGTCCACCGCCACGCGGGGACGATCGCCTCCCAGGCTTGATGCACCCGGTCGGCGTGTTCGGGGTGCCGTGCGCTGTAGATTCCGGTTGTCCAGTGGTATTAAACCCAGCGGGAGTCGCTTCCTGGTTTATTCTTTGAGGTTAGTGAAGGCCCTCCAAGGTTGAAGTGGGGGGGGGGGGGGGGGTTGATGATAGAAGATACGGACCGTATTCTAGGGTGGGCTCGTGGCCTTTTGTGTCCGTCCGGGTAAAGGTACGATCTAGTAAGAGCCCGGCGCAGAGAATGCTTAGGCATATTATTATAACATCTCGCCAGTTCTCGCAAATAGCAGAGCCATAGCCTCTGAGGTGCTCGGTTAGAATAGGATTGTTGGGTTCGGAGGATTCATCGAGAGAGCTATATTTGATTGCCGGTGCGGCGTGGGTAGTAAGGGGCATGTTCGCGGTCAATCCCAGAGTGATAGCCCTAATTGATCGAATCTATGGTAAGCTGGGGATAGCATTGCTGCAGTATATCTATAGCTATGTAGGTTTGAAATTGAGATTGTTTAGCAAATGCAAGTCAAGGCACTGTGCTCTGCATGCTCTGGATTCACTGTGCAAACCATCAAACATCGTCTGGTTGCGCTCGTGTAACCTCAGAGTCTGACATTTGGGCAGTGCAAAGTGCAGGCCCGGGCAAACTAGACAAGGATAATTCGACCAAGCATACGCTATCTGTCGCTGCCGCTTAGCGACCTCCTACCCAAAGAGGCAAGTCACTCTGCAGACGGTCCGGGGGTAGTGATCTGCAATCAAGTCGACACAATCATCTCGACTCTAGCGTAGCAGACTCTACCTCCTCTCTGGCACGAATCGTTCGCTCTGATCCTAGCGGACTTTCTGACACTAGAGCATTGCGCCCAACGCTAATCGATGTCTTAGTCCGTCCTGAGAGCCATATGCGGGGAATTTTTGAGAGCGACGAGGCTGACAGAATTCACAGAGGCATCTAGGCTGTTGATTCGTGTCGCGCCCGAAGTTGTTGACGTTGATTTCCGATGTAAATAGCTTTTGAAGCTGTTGACAAACGAACAAAGCCCGATTGTGCTATAAACTGAACGTAGCGAAGGGAGGCAGATCACGATCACACCCAGACCGCACTCGACCATAGTCCAGAACAGGAGGTATGTGATGAGTGCTGTGTACTTTTAGCATGGAGCTTCGAAGGGGCGCGTGGTTTTCGTACTTTCTCCGTCTGATTCAGCAAAGGCGTTGACGACATGAGTGATGTAGATGATCATCCGTGTAGCAGACGCTGCGATCGCCCTGCGAAGTGGTTATGGCATAGACCATGAAGTTTTTAGAAGTGTTGCTTACAGAAGACCAACAAGAAAGACCAGTCCAAGTAGCAGTTTTTGGCGGACGGACATGTTCAACGACCATATCTGCAGTGTATACTTAGCTTTCGAGTCTGTGGTCGTAGGAAAATGGATGGATCTACCCGTGGCAGTGGTAGTAACCATATAATGATGTCCATGATGAAGTCTGAAATCGCATATCCCTCGAGGAGTGGGAGCTGCAGACTGCATTTTTCTGCAATGACGGCAACCGTCGCCCACGCATGCTCGGGACGAGAGCCACAGAGGAAGATGGTACAAACTCCGAACACCAGAGTCCAAACCGCGACGAGTGCTATCATAAACATAGTGACGGTGTGGAAGGCGGTCCTGGTGGTCCGTCTACTGCAGAATATGCTACGGTAGAAGCAGAGAATGCTGAGTTTGGTGAAACCAAACGCGAAGACAGTCGCTATGTCAGCAAAATACTGGATCTAGGGCACGTTTAGTATCCGGATCTGTGATGAATGACGTGGGATTTCAACCTGTAGTAGTCTGATCTGTTGATCAGAGGTCGAAAAGAGATAACCCTCTGGGCGTGGATCAGCAGGTGGGGGAAGATGGCCCCCCAAGGATCCTGTTGTTGCGCCCCAGAGTAGAAGTGCCGCAAGCGTATACTCCAAAAGCTGCATTGAATAGGTCAGAGTACTTACTCGATTCAATCTCACACTCACAACACTCACCAGTGCGGGCAAAGTCAACCAATCGTCAATCCATAGCACAGATTTCGACCTCTTTCTCGCAAAGAAGCGAAGTATGACTGTCAGAGTGCCCAACACGGGGAAGAGGATGGAGATGGTCATGATCGCGGCAGGTGTTGCGTATGTTCGTGACATGATGATAATAGTAACGTCTCTCGAATGCCATCCGTGGTATAGAAATTCATTATTAGATGACGGTTGGAACAAGGCTATCTTTTAAAGTAAGAGATTGGCACGGGATATTGACAACTCGTGCTGGATCTAACTTACCGGTGATAGACAGAGGTAAGGATGATCTGGGGTGATCATGGCCGGTTTGATACCGAAGGTGGCTATATTTGTTTGTCTCCAACCTAGTCGATCACCAACGGTTGCCTTTTCTTTTGCTTGATAAGCCTCACCGCTGCAACCTCATGCCAAAAGTACTCCTCCTCGCCCTCCCCTCTTTCTTCTTCTTCTTCTTCTTCTTCCCTCCATTGAGTCTGTAAGTTGTTAATGATCATGACGTTGCTCTGGATTCTTGAAACCACCGCCATTGTGCTGTTGCTATGGACAGCAGTTGAAGCTCTCCGTCGCCTCTGGTTCCATCCAATCGCCCACGTTCCAGGTCCCCGCCTCGCAGCTCTGACATGGTGGTACGAGTTCTATTTCGACGCCATCCAGCCCGGTCAATACGTCTTCAAGATACAGGAACTTCACAAACAATATGGTACGTCAGAATCTGCTCCCTACTCAAGCCAAGCGCCGACGCTTTCTAGGCCCCATCATCCAAGTCACTCCCGACGAGATCCATATCAACGACGTCGGCTTTCTGGACACTGTCTACGCGCCCGCAATGGCTCGAAGGAATAAGTACGACTATCAACTACGGAGTGTTCGCATCCCCGGCGGAGTGGGCACCACCGCCGACTATCACCTGCACAAACTGCGACGGGAATCTCTCACCCATTTCTTCAGCAAGAAGAACATTTTGTATCTGGAAGGGTTGATCACCGACAAGGTCGAGCAATTGAAGCAATTGATCGCGACTCATGCAGCCGACAACACGCCAGTGAACTTGTCGGATGCCTTTTTCGCATTTTTCAACGAGTAAGTCAATCGTCACATCATTTATTTGGCAGAAATCCAGACTAACCTCCCCCCAAAGCGTCGTCACGAATTTCCTCTTCGCGCACCAGACCGACATACTGTCCAACGAGCCCAAAGCAGCCATCCTCCGCCAGAACAGCAAAGAGCTCCTAATGGGCATCAACCTCAACAAGCACTTCCCGTGGATCCCTGATATCCTCGAATCTCTCCCGCTATCCATCAGCCGGCCAATGATGCCCCCAGGGCTCGTGGATATGCTTGCACTCTTCGACGTAAGCCCCCCTCCCCCATCCCAACTCCACAACCATCATCACTAAAATCCCAAAAGCGAGTCCGCAACGAACTCCTCACCCTCACGCACACCAAAGCCTCAGCAACAACAACCACCGCCGCTAAACCCGCGGGTTTGGGACCAACAGGCAAAGAATCCGTCTTCGACTCCGTCCTCGACAACCCCACCCTCCCAGACACAGAGAAGACGCTCCTCCGCCTCGGACAAGAAGGCACCCTGCTCGCGCTAGCGGGGACTGAATCACCCGCGCAGACCCTCGCCGTCGCCTTCTACCACCTCCTCGCCAACCCGGTGCTCCTTGCGAAGCTGCGCCAGGAGCTCCGCACGGTCCCCGCATCCGCCTCGTGGACGCAGCTCGAGCAACTGCCCTACCTCTCCGCGGTCATCGAGGAAAGCAACCGCCTCCCTTTCGGCGTCACCGCCCGAACAGCCAGGATCGCCTATGAGCCGCTAACTTACACGCCCTCCGCGCATGTTGCCCCATCACCGTGCAACCCTCCCGGTGCGCAACCCAAATCATATGTAATCCCCTCGGGCACACCGAAAAGCATCACGACGCTGAGCGCGCACACGGCGGAGACCGTGTTTCCGGAGCCGTGGGTCTTCGATCCGGATCGGTGGCTCGGGGATGCCGGGAGAGAGCGATGGAAGTTTCAGATGGCGTTTGGGAAGGGCGGGCGGAGGTGTTTGGGGATCGAGCTCGCGCGCGCGGAGCTGTTTCTGGTTATTGCGGGGTTGGTGCGTGCGTTTGAGATGACGCTGTTTGAGACGGGGGAGGAGGATGTGGCGTTTTGGTGTGATTATCAGGTTGCTATGCCGGGATTGGGGTCGAGGGGGGTGAGGGTGAGGGTGAGGGCGAGGGTGGGAGAGTAGCCTGTAGGGCTTGCTTTTATTAAGTATTGTAAGACTACATGGCCATCATGGAATTTGAGAGTTGAGTTTGGTAGAAAGAGATACATATACATTGCCTCAGTTACATTCAAAGTAGAACTAACTTATATAGGTATACCGCGCACCAGTCCAAGTCTTATGCAAAGTATCCTCCTACATAGGACCGCCAAACATCTCTCCTTTGATCCAAGGTCAATATCAATACAACACGCTGTATACCCGAGAGTAACCTACAATCTTATACTACAGTCCATAGGTCCACATACCCAACACCACGCATCAGTCAAACCATATGGAAAACATGCAGACCAGACTATCATCAACAACCTCTTATCTGAACAAACCTGCGGAACAATTCCAGCCACAGGATAGCACAAGACTAAGCCCATCTGCTTCGTATCTCAATAGCAGCCCCACCAACAGACCCAGGGGTGATCTCATAGATCAGTCTACTGCTAGACTAGGTACTCAGTCCAAACCCAGTGCAGATCCTAGGGCTTAACGCGAAGTATGCGTAGCCACTCCAAGCCTCAAGTTCATCCACAAAGCCCGCCAGAGCAACCCACGGCAACCACAGCAGCCAGTGCCTACCTATACTTAAGGTACTATACTCTTCAAATAAATCCTCTCGACTGCAACAGATCTTGACCAACCACCTTGACACATACATACACACACACTCACACGTATCCCAGCCAAGATGATCCGTCCCATACGTCACCTCCTTCCCCCTATCATTCGTAGCCTTCTCTCTCCCTATGAACCCGTGCTTCACGCAAGAATGCCACGAAAATCGAGCCACAACACAGTCTGATGAGTGTTTATGTACCCAAAATGTGAGAGATCTAACTCACTGCACATGAGAACAAACTCCACAAACAGAAACGGTATGTAACGCGGCCTCAAAGAACAGTAAACTCGACCAGATTCGAAGCAGGCACAACCACCCTCGCTCGCCCCCCATTATCCCTGGGCTCAAGGACCTCCCCGCCCAGAAACCCAGGCACGGTCACCGCCGTATCAACATGCTCCTCCAACGTGCCCCAATCCCACCAGTCCAGCACACAGCCAACGAACCGATAGCGCAGGACCTCCCCGGTAGCCGGATACGGCGGCAGGTCGTCTTGCGAGTAGAGATGCACCGACCTCGAGTACGTCTGCCCCGGCCGCAGGCTGATGAAGCGGGCCTTTTCTCTCTCCTTGCCCACGATCACTTGATAGGGATCGTCGGGACCACTGGGGAACTGACAGCTCCCGCCTTCGTCGTAGGACTCCCATTCTCCATCCTTGTATCGCTGGCGATACGCGCGGAAGGCTCCGTAAGTGCAGAAACTGTAGGTGCGGAAGGTGATGGGCCGGGGGTTGGTGGGGGGATGGTCTTCTCTCCCGGCGGTGCCGTGATACGTTATCGTCCATGTTATGGGGAGGCGTTTTCTTGGGTTCCAGTGCGAGGTCGTAGCCTTCAGCTCAACGGTGAGGACTGGGGCGCCGGGACTGGTAACCGGGGGTTAGTTAGTGGCTGAGGGCTTGCCGGTCCGGTTCCCCGTTTCAGTTATTTTCGGGCAAGAAAAGGAAATCGCACAGGAAAAGACGGGAGGCACTACAGTAGGCGAGGACTCACACTCGATCCGTCTGCTCCAGTGGTGGCGGGCTCCATGCCCGCGGCATCGGCCCCGGCTCCCTCTCCCCCTTCAGCATGAACGAGCATCGAGCTCCGCCGGGAATCACGAGGGGGGCTACATTGGGCTTGGGCTTGGGCTTAGGCTTGCGCTCCGGAGCTGTTGCTTCTCTCGCATCCCCCAACTCCCAGCGAGGAATCTCAGCGCCGGGCCATAGGATCTCGTACCGCTCGTCCGGTTGTAGGCCATGGTACGCGTGCCGTTCAATGCGCGGATGCATCGGGGCGGTCGTGGTCCCCGGTGCAAGCACCCATCGATCCGGGATATCGAGCTGTGTGAAGCCCAAAAGACGATGCGGGGACTTGGTGTTCGAGTCATTCTGCTCGAACGTCACCGGCTCATAATTCCCCCTTGGCAGGAGCCGGAATAAGAGGACCCCCGCCTCCACGCCGGTCCAGTCTAGGATGCAGGTTTGGTCTTGCCCTTCGCCGCTGCTTTCTTGGTCTGAGGTCCAGTGAGCGTGTATGCGAAAGCCCAGAGTAGTGGGGTCAAGGACATATTGGGGGTCTGCGGCGCGGAGCGAGATGGTGATGATCGGGGTGTTGGGGCTGCTGAGGCTGTTAGCGTTTGCTTTTTGGGGCTAGTTGGTAAGGGGGAGGGGGGCTTGATGCCGTCGATCTTGCTCTGTTATTTTGATGTACTGGCTGGATGGGTCTTCCATGTTGAATAACGCGCTGTTAGTTGGTGTGTGTTGGCTGGGGGAGAAGTTGCCAAGGGGCTAAGGAGAAGGGGAGAAGGAGAGAGGATAAAAGTCGTGGTTGATTTAGGCAACGCATGTGATGAGGCGAGCGCTATGCTATGCTAAAGTAGGAATAGTCGTCCATTTCTGTACAAACCCATTTCAGTAGTCATATGCAGAGATGTATGTACTATGCTCTGTCGCTATTCATGTCCATCTCCTACCCCCGGACAACATACTGGTCTACACAACGTATTTGCGATATGTACTCAGCACCACCATATGAACCATCATCTATCACCATCTTCAAGGCGACATCGCAGTCAGCAAGAACATCTGTCACAAAGAAGCGGATGGAAACTCACGAAAACATCTCCGTATGCAAATACACCTCTTCCACGCCAGCCATCTTACCACTACCAACACGCAACTGCGCGTCGGCCGCCGCATTACGAACGTCGTTGATCATGGACCCAGGCCCACACGTGAAGATGCCGATCTTCTGCTCTGCACCTCCTCTCCTGGTGACAGGAACTGTGGCGGTGAGGAGCTGGGACAGGTCTGGTCGACGCGCTTGATGGTATGTAATCGGAAGGTTGGTGGTTGGGCTCGATGGCTGGGTCTCTTCTTTGACTTCCTCGGAGGGGGTGATAGTGGTCTTGTTCGTCACTTCAGGGGTTTTGACGTATCTCTCTTCTTCATCCCGTGAAGGCTGAGGGGGTGATGGGCTGAAAGGGGGAGTGGAGTGAGAAGTGATATGGATGTCGATGTGCACGTCTATTCTGCGAGAGCTGGAATACCGTTCCAGAAGGATCCGATTGAGCTCACTGGTGTACCAGTCTGCTACTGCTGGAGACCGAGTTGCGAAGATGATGCTGATCCTAGGGAGAGCACTAGAAGAGTTGTTTCCCGCTGCATCGGTAATGGCATCGGTGGACGAGTCTCTGGAATATTTCACCCCCTGCAGGACCTCTTCCAGAATCCCGAAAGAGAAACCACCCCCCGACCCTCCCGTCACTAAGATGATATGGCTGAATCGTGCGATGTCGAGATCTCTGGATATTCCGCTGTATGGCCCTTCCAGAAGAACAGGAATGGAGAAGCCAGGGTGGCGCTGGGCAAGCTGTGCAAGGCGGGCTGTAATGCCGCTGCGGGGCTGGATGTAGAATGTCAGGCTTGGGCAGATGCTGCTACTCGGTACCTGCTTCGAGCTTGAGGACGGGATCGAGTCCAGTGATGTACTGGGCATGGAGGTGGGCTTAATCGCTGAGTCGAATTTCGTCGGATATGTAGAGCTTATGGTGAAAGGATGTGCGGTAAGACTGTGTAAACCCAGTCGAGGGCTGAGAAAACGGATGAAGACGTGTTGCGCGGGTCGCCACACAACGGTAACAGTTGGGACAGTGATACGGAGGAAGCCGCAAGGGAGAAGCTCGAATGTCGCGCAGTGACGGCCATGGATGAGGTGGGTTTTGGCGAACGATATAAGAAGACTCAAGAGGTAAATCGCGACAGATGCAATGAAATAGTCCCTTTTGGACATTAGAACATTAGGTTGCATACGCACAAGCCGTAGGGAACATACCATGATGAGAGACGAAAGTCACAGTGGAAGAAAAAGAAGACAATAAACAGGAATGCGGCCAGAAGATGCGTGGCTTTGAAGAATTCGTAGAATCGGTTCCTATAGAGTCAATAGATGTTCAATCAGCCGAGGCTTCATAGCTCACCGAATGGCTGGCAGAGACATAAATGTCAAATATGCCTGTGGTATCAGAGCAGCCACCCCCGTCCAGTATGTTATCTCCGTCTTCCACTGCTTCGTCATGTCGCCTTTCTGAATGTGAACAACAATGAACGGGAATGTGTGCACTAAGGCAAGGACGAACATAGCATAGCTAGTCCAGTGGTGGAATATCTGATAAATCAGCCGTAGTACATTGATGAACGTGGGTGAAACGAACCTGCAGTTTTTCATGGGTGACCCCAGTCAACGCTGATATCAGATTGGCTTTTGCTCCCAGGGCCCTGTTGTCGGTCAATAAGGCTCAATCACTGAAAATGGCATACCGACAAGACGAAAGGCAGCAGGCCCAGTGCCATCCATCCTGCTCGGGTCGCAATTGGAGGACTGCCTCCATAAGACACAGTCTCTGTATTGGGCCAGTAATATGGCTGTGGGCCGAGGGTCATTGCTGCAGAGCATCAGAAGAGTTCGTTCCAGCATACTCGACTGTGTACCAACCGAGGAAGAAGACAGCCCCGACAGCAATCAAGATAAAGACCCCGGTGGCGGGAAAACAGACAACTGGTAAGGGAAGACTTTTGTAGGCAAGGTAACGCCCTGTTGCCGTTGCCCTCCTCCAGACAGCCGTCCTTCGCAAAAACAGGGGACTAAACTTGGCCATCATCCGAATAATCATGAACACCCCAACCGTGGCGCAAAGAAAGTATATCGTGTTCAGCGCATAGACGTGATCGGCTTGATACCTGTCGAAATCTCATGAGTAAACAAAACAATGAAAAGCGCGAAGACATACCAGTATCTCCAATGTCCATTGCGGTAGGCGCATTGCTCTACGGTCAACTTGCAGCTATCTGCTCTGGAAGAGTGCAACATCACCGGCTGGTCCAGCCATGGTAAACCCATTTTGAATAGTATGTCAATACCGTGGAGCCAGCTTATCCCGTTCAATATGGAAAGCAAGTCTTTTCAACTGAAAGCCGTACTTCATCACTGTTCATAGAGAAATATTAGGAGCAGAGGGAAACCACACGAGCGAAAAACATGGTAGGCCAGCTACCCAGCGGAAGCCTTGAAGACGGCACTACAACCTTATGGGCATTGCATTCCAACTCCAGACATGAACTCCTCTTTGGATCCCATAGTGGATTGCTGATTGGCCGGACAGCGCTCAGAATTGAGCACATTTCGCCGGTTAGCGTGGAATGCGGACGCATGCAGCCATCCGGACATTTCTCCGTCGGGCTGTCGCAGGGCGGCTGGTTTCGTTTTCGACGGTGGGACAATACGGAGTAGAGCGTATTATGTCAGGACGATTATAATAAGTCTGCATATATCCACATTTGCCAGCTTGTATCGTTTGATGTGCGCCTAGTGAGCAGATTTGCGCGGATAGTTTAGCGGCATAGTCCGTCCAGCGGGACTGCATCTGAGCAGATGACTCGCGATTAGCATTGGATGGCTGGACGTGACGTTGCGGTCAAAGCCAGAGGTCATAGCGTGTAGCTGATTGTATGATATGAACGTCAGTGAAATGATGATGGACATGAAGAGACTGATGAGGAGAGAAGAAGGGAGGATCAGTTGCTCATCCCTATCCGGCCTAGTGCCAAGTGCAGAGCATGCTCTAAGTATGCCTTCCCGATCAGGACTAGCTTCATTCAACCCTACTACGCTTTGGCCAGCGACAAGTTGTTTACCGACACAGACACACTCGGACATCCATCAACCATGCTGCCATCCACCTGCTCCTGTTCCCAAAGTCCGTGATCTTTCAGCGCCTGATATCCTCCTCGGAGACTATCCGCCTGGACTCCCTTGGCGCGCAGCACACTAGTGGCAATACGGGCCGTGTCGCCATTGTAACAGATCACCAGCACATGGTGGGAAACCAGCTGCGCGAGCTTGCTGTCATCACTGAACAACGTCTCCATCTCCAGCCAGAGCGCCTCTAGCACATCCGGATTGGCGAACGGCTTCGCTGTATGGAGGCCAAGACTACGTAAGGGAACATTGACCGAGCCGGGGAGGTGCCATGAATCGAAATCGACGGCTGTTCTCAGGTCCAGGATACAGCACGCCGGTCGGAGGGTGATGTTGCTCAGGAGGCCCTGGGGGAACGACTTGGGGGTCTCGTAGAAGTGCGCGAACAACACGACAGGACTTCGTTCCCAGCTCTCGTCGTACCGATGAAGATCCACCTGCGTGAGTTTCTGTGGACACGGGGTTAGCATGTATCCTTATTCTCTGTATCGCTTGCTCACCTCGTTCTGGATGGGATGGAACCTCTCGGGTCCCAGCTTCTCAAAATACTCCCCAATGTACTGATACGGCAAGTCGCAGCATAAGAAGACGCAGTGAACAGAACCATCCGGTCCCGCCAGCTGCGTCAAGGTCCCCCCGCGTTTGCGCTTCTCGAGCATCTGAAACAGGCCCTGCAGATTGAACCCGGACGATGGGCCACAAACAATGCCTTCGCGGCACAGATCCAGCGACAGAGAAAATGAGTCTGCAGATGTGACCTCCTCGATCATGTCGACTGCGGCTTTCCAGGGAAACTCCACAGGCCTCATAAGAGCGAACGATCGCGGCCCGGGAACTCGGTCTCCCGGTGCGGTGCACACCCCCAGCCGCAACACCGATGGCTTTGCCTGCTTGAAAAAGGTTCCCAGTCCCGTCATGGTTCCGGAGGTGCCCATGCCAGCACACAGGACGTTGATCTCGGGGAGTTGCTTGAAGATCTGCGGTCCGGTCCAGCGGACGTGCGCGCCCCAGTTGTCGTGGTTTTCATACTGGTTGGGATTGAGGGTGTTATGGGACTGCATGGCTATCGCACGTGCGGTTTGAATGCCGCCCCGTTCATCGTAAGGATCCGGCTGTGACGGGCCACCAAACAAGGTGATGTTAAGCCCGAAGAATTGCATCAGCTTGAGCTTGGCGTTGCTGGTCTTGTTGCTGAGATATGCTCGGGTGTCGTCGATTCCATGCATCACACGCGCAATCATCGACATGGAAATGACCGTCGAGCCGGAACTATACTCCACTATCGTCTGGGTCTGTCCAGGTATCACGCCTGATTCGAGCATATTCATAGCTGCAGAAGTCAGTGACTAACAACATGCATCACTGCAAGGGCGCATGTACCTGGCAACGCTTTGACATTGTTTGCAGGGTGCATCGTCATCATCTTCGCATAGATGCGCACCCCCTCGTGGTGGAATGGGTTCAGATGCCGTGGCAGCTCTACGAGCGGCAACGGAGGTTGGCAGTCAGGGTCG